TCATTTTCTGCTCCTGGGAAAAGTATCTATACTTTCCCAAGTCGTATAGCTTTGTTCAAGTCGCTCTATGTCCTAGACTAGGACTCGGCAAACTGCCACCTGCAATGCCAAATTCGGCCCAGTGCCTGCATTTGTAAATAAAGTGTTATTGGAATTCAGCCATGTCCATTCATGTACTTTGTTTTGTCTGTGCCTGCTTTTGCACTAAAATGGCAAGCCGAGTACTGCAACAGAGATCTCATGGCCAGCAAAGCTGAAAATATTTACTATCTCGCCCTTTGCAGGAAAGGTTTGCCGACCACTGGCCTACAACACCTTTTTAAATCCCTTTTTCAACACTGTAACAGTTTAAAAGGGTTGTCCCTTTAAAACTTAGCTTAAATTTAGCCTTCCATAGTAAGGCTTCATTTTAATCATTCTAGCCCAAAGTGTAACACTTTGTCTTCTAAATACCTAGAACGACATTTCTTAACAGTTTCATAGCACTTTAACCTACTGTCTTGTTTTGTATTTTCCAAATGTCTTTCCTTCATTTAGGATGTAAGCTTGAATCTAGGATTTTTTAACTGATTTATTCATGTTTCTGTTTTTAGTTCATCTATCCATTTACTATGTCAAAATATAGATAGATTATGGTAGATTATGCATAATTGGTTATTATATTATAATTGTATGTACATATCTGTTTAATTATGTGTGTAAACCTAGACCTTTGAGTGCTTAACATGGATCAATTATAATGCCAAAGGCTTTTCATACGAAATTACATTTAATGCTCAAAACTACCAAATGAAAGGAGTATACATGTGACCACCACTTCATAGATGAAGAGAGAAGTCTTAGAAAAGTTAAGACATTTTATGAATTTAGGTGCTTACTGTTAACGAGGTTGAAATTCATGTCCAAGTAAAATGTGTCCCAAAGTCTAGTCTCTAAACTGTTACTAAATTATTNAAATTCATGTCCAAGTAAAATGTGTCCCAAAGTCTAGTCTCTAAACTGTTACTAAATTATTGTATTCTTGCTGCATATAGTATAGTGCCTTATGAAACTAGTAGGTCTCAGGAAAAGGCAAAGAAGGTTAAAATAATCAGATAGGGATATTTTAGCTTTACAAATGCCACAGAAATTGATTCAGAATTCAGATAACAATAGTTTCAGTTTCTGCAAATAATTTGAAATAGAAATATCTTATTCTAGAATCAGAAAATAAGTTAATATGTTTGTTGATTTGCATTGAACTAAATCAGTGTATGATTCTATATTGACACACCTTGAGCAAGGGTCTATTTTGGCTTTAGCAATTGGGTGCAGCATTTATTGTCTTCACTACATTTCCTCAGCTGAGTTTTGCCTTCTTTAAATTGTAATACACTGGGAAAAGTGCCTGTTAAAGTCATGAAAAAAGAAATTCAAACTCTAGATCTACCGTTTATAGATTGCAACCATGTGTTTCCTTGTACAATTATTCATCTCCCCTACATTCAGATTCCTCATCTACAAAAATCCAAAGCTAAAACCAAACTATTAGAATTGTGTTGAGATTTAAATGAGAGCATATATACATTGCCTAGTAGTGTGTTTGGTACACATTAAGAAGTGACTAAGATGCTAGAAATCTTTAAGGAGCAGCATCAATGTTTAACTGTTAAGAAGACAGTACAAGACACAATCAAATAAATTTCATAATCTTACAAAAAAATGAATGTGGACCAGAGAAGCAGGAGAGATCTCCGTGAGAGATGAAAACTGAAGTAATCCTCAAATAAGAGGGGCAAAAACCTGAGTATATTTATCTTAGCAGTCTATCTTCTACTTACAGAACAACTTGTGTTTCTTCTATTTCTCATTTTTAAAAGCTTAGAAGTATCAATTTGCATGCAACTGGTATTACAGAATATCTCACTTAAAATATACTTTTCACATACTTTAGAATCTAATAGAGTCTAGAAAAATTAATCACTTATTAATATGACAATTTATTCTTTCATTTTAAAAAATGCTAAATATATTGCCTACTTTTAAACAGATAATCATATGGGCAATAGTGGGTACAATAGTGTAAAATAAAGAATAAGAACTTACAGTATCAGGTTTATTTATGGATTGTTTAGTTGAACCTGGACCAGATGCCACATCGTTTGCCTTTCAACACATTGCTTTTTCTAATACACCATGGTTTTGACATATACAAAAACCCAAATCCAAATTTTTCATTATTCTTATTTTATTTTTATTTGCAAATGTTTAAAGAAACAGATATTTGATTGAACCTTGAGCTTTGCTGTCATGAAGCTGTAAGAAAGTTTGTGGCAGTATGAAATACTTTTTTTCTATTAAAGTATTTGGTAATTACGTTTATTAATAGCAACAAAGTTC